ATGCAGTAGTTATCCAGTACAAGTTGTATCGTTTTACCCTTGACACATGAAAAGAAACTAGTAACCCTGTCAGATACATCTTCGCTAAGACTTAACTTTACTGTTGTCTTAAATCCGAATCGAATCTTTTTACATTCTTGACAATTCTTGACGATTGACAAAACGTAGTCCTCACTATCAAGTATGTCATCACTCATTCACAACATAATACATTGCATCAGTTTGTCTTTAAGTGTTTGTCTTAACATTTCCTCCCATTACATAGTTTGGGGGTGGGGGGGTGGGTGGGTGGGAGGGTGGGGCGGTGGGGGGGGGGGTCGGGGTGCCCTGAATCAGGGACTGCGATCTCAGCTGAATGGCAAGAGGCCCCCTTAAACCCTAAACCTTCAACCCTAAACCCTAAACCCTACGTAAACCCTAAACCCTAAACCCTAAACATCCCTGAAATGGGTGTAGCCATGTTGCCTCGCGCTGGCTCGGGGATGGCGACACCTTTGCCGTAGCCTGGAAACATTGAGAAGCTTCGTAGGCTTTAGTTTAGTTTTGAGAAGCGGCTGCATATCCTTGCAAAGCAGCCGAAGAAATCCAAACTCCCTCTGCAATAGAGCGCTTTTATTTTGCAGAATCTCGCGTACACAGGACGTATTGGAAGCCGCAGAAGAAGCCATGGACCGCATCGGTGCAGCGTGGTGCAGACGAGCCGCTGGTGGGAGCAGCGCAGAAAGGCCCGACGCCTTTAGGGTTTAGGGTTTAGGGTTTAGGGTTTAGGGTTTAGGGTTTAGGGTTTAGGGTTTAGGGTTTAGGGTTTAGGGTTTAGGGTTTAGGGTTTAGGGTTTAGGGTTTAGGGTTTAGGGTTTAGGGTTTAGGGTTTAGGTTTTATGGTTTAGGGTTTAGGGTTTAGGGTTTAGGGTTTAGGGTTTAGGGTTTAGGGTTTAGGGTTTAGGGTTTAGGGTTTAGGGTTTAGGGTTTAGGGTTTAGGGTTTAGGGTTTAGGATCATGGATCTACCCGAAGCCACAAAACTGGCGGAGTGTAGGTCTAGATAGTCGACCAATGTCGACCACCCTCCTCCTCGAGCTTCCCGAGTCATTTACACGTGAACTTCGCCAAAGCTACTGCAACACGTGAGTGACACGCATCAGGCTTTGTGGAAACAAAAAGAAGGGCACCCCCCCCCCCCCCCCGGTGGTTTTTTAGGGTTGATGAGGATTTACAAGGCCCGTTTGTAAACCCTAAACCCTCAACCCTCAACCCTAAACCCTAAACCCTAAACCCTAAACCCTCTTGGGGTTGCGGGTGGCTTTCAGGGTGTAGAGGCTCGGTGGGTTTTTAGTGTTCGGAAGGCTTGGCTCGGCGCGCGCTTCTTGACGGGGAGCTCGTCCTCAGTGCGACCCCACATGGGAAACCCACAGTTTAGGGTTTAGGGTTTAGGGTTTTGGGTTTAGGGTTTAGGGTTTAGGCTACCAGCCCGACAAGAAAAACCCGGGAAAAACCCGCAAAGACGCTAAGAAGCATTGCTAGGAGACCATGGTGCACATTTTTTGGGGTTTAGGGTTTAGGGTTTAGGGTTTAGGGTTTAGGGTTTAGGGTTTAGGGTTTAGGGTTTAGGGTTTAGGGTTTAGGGTTTAGGGTTTAGGGTTTAGGGTTTAGGGTTTAGGGTTTTTAGCAAAAAACAACTCCCAGAAAGCCCTTCTGAGATTCTGCCCGGGCACAGCCTCCAGCGGCGGAGGGGTTTCCGTAGGGGGGGCCTTGGAGAAGCACAATTCCTCCTCTTCGGTCTTCGGGGAAGAAAGTGTAGGAAGTCCTAATGAGCCTCTTCTAGCTAGGGTTCCGGTTGCGAAACTCTCGACATCGTGCCAGGTCTTCTTGGGCCCTGTGGTTTTCTGAGAAGGGAAACCCTAAACCCTAAACCCTAAACCCCGAACCCCAGGAAGCCAGGGTCCGCGCGGGCTTACTGGACCCATCCCGCCGCAAGTCGGAGAACTCTGGCTGAGTCCAGGCCTTTGTTAGGATAGAGGCGCTATAGGGAGTTCCAGGGTTCAGTACCCTAAACCCTAAACCCTAAACCCTAAACCCTAAACCCTAAACCCTAAACCCCAAACCCCAAACCCTAAACCGAGAACTGGGGGGGCTTGGGATTTGGGGGCATGTTGGGGTTTCAAGCTTCGCGTGTCGGGGGGGCTCCGGGCTTGCCATGGCTTGAAAGAGAAGTTCGGGTGCAGCTGAGCCTCTGATGTCTGTTTAGGGTTTAGGGTTTAGGGTTTGGGGTTTGGGGTTTAGGGTTTAGGGTTTAGGGTTTAGGGTTTAGGGTTTAGGCTTATGTTCATGCTTCATGCCAGATGAGGAAGATGCTGACACGCAGCGGCGCAGCTTCCGGGCTTCGGGGTGTTGAAGCGGCAGTTTACGGGTAGGTCTTCTAGACTGTGGCAGAGGAGCCTTCTGAGCCTTCTTGCCGCTCCGCACAGTTGCACCAGCAGCGACATCGCCGGGGTGAACGCTCATGGGTTCATTAAAGTCCTAGTCTTTAATCCGCTTAGCTTGAAGTTTGACCTTGAGAGTTGGTGTAAGTCTTGTGTTGACGGCCTCATACTCAAAGGCTCTTGTGGGAGGTCTCCGGCCTTTGGGGGGGCGGGGGGGGAGGAGGGGGGGGGGGGGGGGAGGGGGGGGGGGGTGGGGGAGCTGCAACCCTGACTTGGTGGCCTTTGGCCACTTGAGCCCATTTGGCTGTAGGCACCAGGACCGGAGGTTTCAAAGACGATCAAGTTGTACGGTTGAATCTTGGGCTGCTGGGGCTCAGTTTAGCTGGACACCTCACAAATCCAATGTTTAGGAACGAGGCGCGTAGATCGCACCAGATGCTATCCATCGTTTTTGCGGAAAACACCATGGCCAAAATCTGGTGCCATCTACTCGCTGCTTTTGTAGCAAAGGCAGCGAGTCGATCTTTTGTTGATTCATTAAATTCCATAAGTTCCTTATAAAAACCTAAATTGGGCTAATTGAAGTTGATCCCTTGACTTAACTCCTTGAACTCCTCAACTAGGTCAGAAGTTCCTTATAAAAACCTAAATTGGACTAATTGAAGTTGATCCCTTGACTTATATAACTCCTTGAACTCCTCAACTAGGTCTTCTCTAGGAATTTTTGGAATGTAAAGAATTGTGCGCCCTTTTTTAACTTTTTAAATTGGAAAATTGATCTCGGGACTTCATTTTCATTCTCTAAAATTCTTTACATTCCTTAAAAAACTTGAATTCCTTTTTCCGGCCTCATTTAGGAATGTCAAGATTGTAAAAAATGTTGAGCCCGATTTGTTTTTCTAAAACTCCTTGCATTCAGCAAACGATTTAGACATAAAGTTTAGAATAGGGTCCATACAAGGATTTAGAGAAGGGCTTTGAAGGGTTTAGAAGAGCCTGCAAGAAGGTGATTTACAAGGGTTGGGGCTTATCAGGGCTTAGAAGGGGGTTAGAAAAGGTCATGAAAGGCTTCAGGTCTAAAAGGGTTCAGAAGGGTTCAAAGTGCTTATAAGGTACAACCGGCGTTTGAAGTGCGAGGTGAAGAAGAAGTAGAAGATGCTCGTAGCCCTTGGGTAGCTGTAACAGTACAAACGCACCTAAGCTGAGGTGTACAAGGGTGTAGCGTAGAAAAGCTTCGGAAGGATTGCAAGTCAAAGAACGGATGGAAAAGGGTCTGGGCTTCAAATGCAGTTTGGGAATTCCTTAACTTGCGTAAGGATATCTCAGGTTTTGAAAACTATGACTTATGGGCTTGTTTTTTGGAAGAGGTTTGGCAGCGCGGCGATGATCATGGAACTGTTTTCAGAGTCGCAGCTCACCTCAGTCCAAGTAATCTGGCCCAAGATCCCTCTTTGACACGGGGACATGCTCAGTCAGATGCACGCGCGCGAGAATTGGCTCTGAAAAAGTTTCACTCGAAACTAGAAGCCCTTCGAGCGTACATTTCGAGAGCTTGTGATCTTCAAACGCATGTAGCTCTCATGTCTCGAGAAGAGCAGTTCTCTTGTGGTTTCCATAATGAATGGTGCGAACCCAGTCGTGCTCGCAAGCTTACTACGTCGTGTGCATGCCCTCCAAAGTTTAGAATTCGCAGTAAGAGCCAAATTTCGTGTGGCCTTAACTGCTGCAATCTTCGTGCTCCTGCAGCCGAAGAAAGGTTCATGTTGTCTGTGGCGTCAAAATCTCGCATTCCGGATGCTGTCTATGCGAAGGTTTGGGGTATGCACCCTAGACTGAAAACCGCGCTAAGATGCATCGGAACTCGATCTCCGAATTTGGTGCCTCAACTTGGGGTTCCTCAGTCGAGTTTGTGTTGTAGGATAAGTGGCGTTGGGGCGCGAAACGGACAGCTGAACAGTGCATACAGTTTGCTGTGATGCTTGAATATGTGTTAACATTTGGGTTCCGAAGAGGGTTCTTAAACCGGTCTATGTCGCTAGGTCTCGAGATGCCTTCCTGCACTGAAGCATCACGGTGTTGAATGCTCCCGACTTGAAACTCTTGAAGTTTCCGTGCTCAGGCCCAGCTTGAATAGTTTCTTTAGTTTCGGGTTTAGGGTTTAAGGTATGAGGTTTAGGGTTTAGGGTTTAGGGTTTAGGGTCTAGGGTTTAGGGTTTAGGGTTTAGGGTTTCGGTTTTAGGGTTTTAGGGTTTAGGGTTTAGGGTTTAGGGTTTAGGTTCCAGCCCTAAGTCCTACACCCTGAATACTGAACCCTCTAAGGACCACTAAACCACACCCTACACGTCAACCAATGGCGTCTTGCGCAGATTGCCTTCACGGCATCTCTGCAATAAGAGTCTTTGCTCCCTTAAACCCTAAACCCTAAACCCTAAACCCTAAACAACGGGCTCGAAACCAGCTTAAAGCTCGGGGCTGAGGATCTGGGCTTGGTCGGCGGCTTAAGTTTTGGGGGCAACGGATAACTACTACTACTACTACTACTACTACTACTACTACTACTACTACTACTACTACTACTACTACTACTACTACTACTACTACTACTACTACTACTACTACTACTACTACTACTACTACTACTACTACTGCTACTACTACTACTACTACTACTACTACTACTACTACTACTACTACTACTACTAATACTACTACTACTACTACTACTACTACTACTACTACTACTACTACTACTACTACTACTACTACTACTACTCCTACAACTACTACTACTACTACTACTACTACTACTACTACTACTACTACTACTACTACTACTACTACTACTACTACGACATACTACTACTACTACTACTACTACTACTACTACTACTACTACTACTACTACTACTACTACTACTACTACTACTACGACATACTACTACTACTACTACTACTACTACTACTACTACTACTACTACTACTACTACTACTACTACTACTACTACTACTAGGGGTATTGCGCGTATTTGACGCTGTGTTATCCTTCATTTTGCATGTTTTCCCATGTTGTTCAAGACGCGAAAACACTGCTATTTCCTGTCTTTCCTGCTCATGCATTGAATGCTATGCCACACTCCGCCAATTCCCAACGGCGACGCTTCCCTTTCCCAGGAGGGCCTTGCGGGAATCCATGAGGGCCTTTCGAGTTTTTATCAGGGTCTTCGATTTCCCATGAAGGCCTTGCGCGAATAATTTATGATTAAAATTGGCTTTGGCTTGGCTTGGCTTGGGGGGGGGGCTTGGGGCTGGTGGGGGGTGGGGATCTAGGCTTTACCTGGGGTTTTGGGTTTAAGGCTACAGGAGTTTTGGCCTTGCACTTGAAGCTTCGGGGTTTGTGGTTTTCGGTTTCAGGGTAGAGGAGTTTTGAGCTTCCACTTGAAGCTTCGGGGTTTGGGGTTTAGCTTCAGGGTACAGGGCTTTTGGGCCTCCACTTGAAGCTTCGGGGTTTGGGGTTTAGCTTAAGGGTACAGGGCCTTTGGGCCTCCACTTGAAGCTTCGGGGTTTGGGGTTTAGCTTAAGGGTACAGGGCTTTTGGGCCTCCACTTGAACCTTCCGAGTTTGGGGTTTAGGGCTTAAGGGTCCTGGAATTTTGGGCCTCCACTTGAAGCTTCGGGGTTTGGGGTTTCGGGCTTAAGGGTACACGGCTTTTGGGCCTCCACTTGAAGCTTCGGGGTTAGGGGTTTAGGGCTTAAGGGTACCGGAGTTTTGGGCTTGCATTTCAACTGTCTGGTTTCGGGTTTCGGGTACAGGGTCTTCGGCCCTCCACTTGAAGCTTCGGGGTTTGGGGTTTAGGGCTTAAGGGTACCGGAGTTTTGGGCTTGCACTTCAACTGTCTGGTTTCGGGTTTCGGGTACAGGGTCTTCGGCCCTCCACTTGAACTTGGGGGTTTGGGGGCGTCCCTCATTTTCAACGCTGCTTCTCCCCGTGCAACTTTCGTGGTCTTTGTCTGGCACTCATTTTGGAGTCACCGACTTGACGCCCCCTGAGAGCATGGAAAAAAGCGAAGACAAGTCGGAGATTTACGTTGCAGCCTTCACCTTACAACACAAGAAATGCATGTCATTGCCGTCGTGGTTGGGAAATGAGCAGTCTGGCCAGGAACACTGGTTTTGCCGATGGAAAAGGCACTTCGGACGCAGACGGACGCGGCGTCGAATACACGCGGAGCGCGTACTACTACTACTACTACTACTACTACTACTACTACTACTACTACTACTACTACTACTACTACTACTACTACTACTACTACTACTACTACTACTACTACTACTACTACTACTACTACTACTACTACTACTACTACTACTACTACTACTACTACTACTACTACTACTACTACTACTACTACTACTACTACTGCTACTACTACTACTACTACTACTACTACTACTACTACTACTACTACTACTACTACTACTACTACTACTACTACTACTACTACTACTACTACTACTACTACTACTACTACTACTACTACTACTACTACTACTACTACTACTACTACTACTACTACTACTACTACTACTACTACTACTACTACTACTACTACTACTACTACTACTACTACTACTACTACTACTACTACTACTTCTGCTGCTACAACTACCACTGTTCCCACTGCCAGGAACTAATACCTCTTCTCCTGCCACTTCTACAACAACCACCACCACCACCGGCTCTGCTTGCCTCGTGGCTTCTACATACTGACAACGTTTCCCACGCACGATAACGTTCCAGACTGTTGCTTAGTGGCTCCTGCAGTGATTGTCCCTTAGCAGCCCAAAAGAAGAGCAACCCAGGATATAGATTCTCCCATTCATGTGTCTCTGCTGGCCCCTGCACTGCCTTCTTCGCCTGACCCTACGCATTCCGAGTAACTAATACAGGGCCTTCAGAATTCGGCGACCATCCCACCAGACAAAGTTTTGTTCGCCTGGCCTTGCATGCGGCTGCGATGTTGCATTGATCGCTGCTCATTTCGCGTCAAATTGTTCGGGCTCAAAAACCAAAAAACTCAAA